TTTCTTTCAGAGTACGATTTTTGTGTTTCGCAATACTGTTCGACTGCAGTGAATAAGGAGTTGTAGTTTGATGAATAATCCCAGAATCTAAACAAAATTCTTCAAATGATGCTCCATATTCCCCACCTTTGTCACTACGAACAACTTTTATTCTTTTGTTTAGTTGATTCTCATCCTCATTCTTGTACATTTAAATGCTTCTAAGGCATCGTCTTTACTTCTTAGCAAATAGACATAACAGTACATTGTGTAATTATCTATAAAAGTAATAGAATACTTTTTTCCTCATCTAGTTTGCACAAACTTTAAATCACAAATATCATTGTGAATTCGTTCTAGAGGATTCGAGTTCCTTTCAATTGAATGAAATAGTGTTTTAGCTAATTTAGCTTCTACACATGTTTCGCATTGATGATTTTGATCAAAGGAAATGGAAGGAAATAAATCTAAACTTACTAATTTACGTAAAATATTAACATTTACATGTCCTAACCTATCATGCCATAAGTTAGAAGACTCAATCAAGTAAGCAGAAGATTTATTTTTATTAATATCAAAATCACGGAGAACAGGCATTACATTCATTTTGAATTGCCCATTGGCTAAGTACCATTTGCCTACAAACATGCCATTTTTGGTGAGTGCAAACTTGTCAGACTCAAATACTAGCCTAAACCAATTTTTGCTTAACAAAGCTCCAGATACCAAGTTTTTGCGAATATCAGGAATATGCAGCACATCGATGAGTGTTACTTCTTTCCCTGATGTCATCTTCACTACACTTTACCTAGACCAACAACTTTTGATGTTCCCGAGTTGTCCATGAATATTTGTTGTCCATTGATAGGATTGTAAGATGAAAACATCTCCTTATCAGCGCAAACGTGACAAGTAGAGCCAATATCAACGAACCATTCTCTCGGATTGTCCATCATGTTAGCTTCAAATACAAAAGCTAAGAGGATTAGCTCAGACACACCGTTAGACAATCCATCTTTCTCGATCAAATGTACTTGGTCCTTTTTGTTTTGCTTTTTTTGTCAGCAGACCTTTGTAATGTGACCAAGTATACCGCCGTTATAGCAATCTCCTTTGAATTTCTTGGCCTTACTCTTTTGCTTTCCATTACTCGAGTGCTTCATTTTCTTGCTAGTATTTGGCTCCACCAGATTGACTTTAGCCTCCATTTGCAGTTTTCCAGATTTTTTTTTTAGAATTGAGATTATCTTCCTCAATTCTTAATCGTACAATCATATCTTCAAGTCTCATTTTCTTGCGTTTATGTTTCAAGTAGTTCTTGAAATCTTTCCACATTTGTGGTAATTTTTCGATAATCGCAGTAACCTGAAATAACTATCAGAGCTTCATACATTCTGCATGTATATCGTGCAAGATGATTTGTAACTCTTGGACTTGATTCATTATTGTTTTAGAATCTACCATTTTGAAGTCAAGGAATTTGCCAAAAACAAATTTCTTCAATCCGGCATCTTCCCTTTTGTACTTCTTTTCCAATGATTCCCACACTAACTTAGTTGTCTTGACCGAACAGTATAAGCTGTATAGTGTGTTGTCAAGGCAATTGATGATATAATTCATGCATAAGAAGTCACTATGACTCCATGCATCGAATGCTACTCGTTTTTTAGATTCTGTTTCATCCTCCTCCTAACAGTTGGAGCATCTTTACTCAAGAATTTTACCAAATTCAAATTCGTAAGATCAAACAACATTTCTGTTGTCATCTCTTAAAATCCACTCCGGTGAATTTTTTCGATTTCTCCCCGTGAGCATTATTAGGGGGTACGACAGATGCAGTATTACTTGTCATTATCGTCTTAAGATTGTTGGCAAATAATTATATCACCGTGAATTGATTTGGGCAGAATAACGTCGTGGACAATGAATGCTATAAAATGTTAATGGTCGAGGCAAGAGTTCGACTCTTTCTCCTTAAAACGATAATGATCTGCACTGGTGCGACGGTATTCCGACACTCGTCTCCCAAAATACAACGACCTTAACTTGTAATAGTAGCACTACAAATTACAAAACTCGACAAACATACTCACGTTTTGATCTCTCTAAAAAATTCGAGGACTAAAATGCACGAAAATAAGTTTTCAAGATTGGATTACAAAATATGAATAATGCAGTGACCAAAGAATAACTTTGGAAGAAGAATAAAATCAGAATTGATTTTTGAGTAATGAAAATCGGGGTATGTGAGTCTATTTATAGAAGTTGAAATGTTGTGTCCAAGAGACACAACAACCAAAAAATTGTGTCTTCAACAGACACAAACCATTCGGAGAAACAGTTTAATTGTCAACCGTCAACCGCCCTTCTAGCAGAATCAACATGTCAGGCACAAAAAATTGGAGAAAACATAATATAAATTAAATATATTATTATATTAAATAATAATAAAATAATATAAATCAAATATTATTTTACCAAAAATACCTATCAGCTTGGCCAAAGCCCACAACCCGTGCTGAGCTGAGCTGACCGGTCGGATAGACGGCCGCGTTGGCTTTGGCCCAACCTACTAGCATTTAGGTTCTCTTCCTTTCAAAAACTATTGGTACCCATTGGGCTCAAACCCAAGTTCCAAATTTAAGCAATATAAAGTGGTTTATACCATTCTAGCTTTCATATGTGGGATTGGCTATTTTCCAATTTCCCACCAATTTATTTCAATTTCATGTGGTCATCTATTGGGCTTAATTTCTCATTCACCCTAAATTGGTTTTGAGAAAATAAATGCATTAAAATAATCTACTCATAAAGTAGAACACACTTGGCTAAAGAAATATTTGGTCTAACTAACGGGACCTACTAAAATAATTGGTCAAACCAACTAATAAAAACCAATTTTTTCGAACAATTATTTGCTAACATTCTAAATTCTTATTATTACAATTACAAATATAGACTCAATAACATGGGTTGCTATATTTTATTTTGATGACTTTATGAATAATAATAAAGGAAAATGGACATGGAATCGAAGTAAGAATCATGAGATTGTGAAAGGAGTTCCAAATGCTTCATATCATGATCTATATTGTGAAGTCTAGATCTTTGCAAAACTGATTCATCTTTGCATGAAATTGAGATGTGATTTCTTCCTCCCTGGAAATGGAAAGCATTCATTTCCAATCAAAGTTGCTTGAGACATACAAGTGCACTGGTCGCTATCTCTCAACAAAAAGATTTTCATTGTCCCATTTATGCAATCCTCGTAAGCAAAGATCTAGTTGAGCATCTACAAGAAGATAATGATTCATTTCATGAATTGGAAGACGATGTAGTCGATTGTAAAATGCAAAAAGAAGGTGATAATCTTCATTATAAAATGCAAGCGTATGATGATAATGAATTGGATTGGACTAAGAATGTTGATTGGAATGGATTGGAGATAACGCACGACAATAATGTTGATATTCTCACTGAAAATTGTAACAATATTCCTTTCTCTACACATGGACCCAAGATGCTTCAAGGCAACAGAAAATAAAATATTTTTACAAACGAGTACCTTGTCACTTTAACTCTTATGTCACATATAATTCCCGAGGATGCAAATTTAGAATATCTCCAAATTTTCAACATAAAAAAAGATCTCACGATAAAAGTCCATATGTTTGCAATGAAGAACAACTTTTAATTTAGACTGAAGAAATCAAATAAGGAATACAATTGTTTGCATAAATGAAAATTATAAATGGCGTTTCGAGGAACTAAATTCATAAATTATGATTATTTTCAAGTTCACATGCACATGAATATACTTGCTCTATAGGTATTCGTCGAAATGATCAAACACGAGCAAGATCATAGGTTGTTGAAAGACATATAATGCCTAAATTTCAAAATTTCAACATTGTATATAGACCTGTAGGCGTTAATGACACGCGTTAGGAATCCGAGGTGGACATGAGTTATCAGAGGACATGGAAGTTACGAGAATATGTTTTGGAAGTTTTTAAGAGGTTCCCTTGAAGATAGTTATGCTAAATTTGGCTGATATTCTCATAATTTGGCTACAACTAATCTTGGAACGACATTGTCTTTAAAATTGACAGTAACAATCGATTCAAGTACTTTTTTATGGCCTCTTGGACCATGCATTCACGGAAGGTAGTTATCGTTGATGGAACATTTCTGATTGAGAAATATAAAGGTGCGATGATTGTTGCTATTTGTCAAGATGCAAATATTTAGATTTATTGTATTATTTGAGGCATAGTTGATTTCAAGAATGATGCATCGTGTACTTGGTTATTTACGAATTTGAAAGAAGTAATTGAAGATACTGAAGATCTTGTTGCGATATCTGATTGACATCAAAATATTATCAATAAAGTTCAAGCTGTCTATCAAAATGTCCATCTTGGTCATTGCAGCTTAAGGATCATAACTCGAAAAAAAAAAGAGATTTTCCCACTTTCTAAGAAAGCAACAGACATATACTTTGGAAGAGTTTGAAAATAATATGAACGAAATTAAGAGAATTGATATTAAAGTTTGGGATTATTTAGTCAAAGACATTTTGAAGGTTGGGCTAACTCACAATTTCATGAGAACTATTACAATATCACGACATCAAATAATGTAGACTCACTGAATTCGATGTTCAAGAAAGATTGACATGCTTTTATACTTCCATTGATTGAGAGCATTAAGAAGTTGCAAAATTGGTTTTATGAAAGGCGTGTAAATGCACATAAATGTACAATCACTCTAATGCCAGTAATTGAGGGGAAATTACCTAAGAATTTTGATAAAACCAAGAAGTTCGTTGCTGGCTGATCAATCAATTCACGTATAAGCTTATTTTAGCGCATGTTTGGCGAAGCCAAAAGTTACTTTTTAAGCGAAACATATAAGTAAACATTTTAACGCTTATCCAAACATGATAAAACTGTTTTTGCACTTTCTTCCGCCTTTGCACCATAATAAAATAATAGCTGCTAAACTGCTTGCACGCACAGGCACAAGCACCGATGGCCATTTCCGTTGCACAATCACCCACATGGGAAGAAATTGATCGCGCTGAAAGGTACAAAAATTCACCCTCTCAATTCTTCATTCTTATTATATTATGCCATAAAGTTTTTACCTTTTTCTTTTTTTTGCTCTTGTAATTTATGTACGTCGGCAGTTATCTTGTGTGCTGTATGTTCGATGAATCGGCGTCCTTGTCGTCCTCTATTCTATCGAGATTGCTTGAAAATTGTAACTATAAAAGAAAGGGAAACCAATTTCCGGAGAATTACGACAATGAATGGGATGATATGTTGGAATCAGCGGGCATGGTTTTGGTTCAATCCATGAAACAGCTCCAAAGGTAAAGAGTAAAGTTTTTAATTCCTCATGAATTGGAATTTTAGGTTTTACTTTGCATTTTTTGGGCAAGAGATTTTCTTGAATATTCAATTTTGTTTTCTAATATGCAGGACATCTGAGATTTTCAAGGAGCTTGAATTGTTATTTGGCTCCGTAGCTGCCATTCCTGTACAAGTTTTCCTCACCGGGTATTGATTTTTCTTTTTTGCTTGAGTAGTTCGGTTCCATTAATTATATGTTTAACATTTAGATCAGTATAAGGTTTCACTTATTTTATATAATAGCGATTTTGGGATTACCTGAATTTACGTGCTAAGAAGATTTTACCATATTGCATTGAAATCCCCCTTTCGTATGACTGCTAAGGGGGTACAAAGTCTTTCATTTACAAAATCACAGTTTTTTCTAAAGTAGTGTTAATTTAATGCCAGACACTTTCTCAATAGCTTTCTTTGGATACTTATAATAGGCTTAGTGGAAAATGGGAAGATATGTATGAATATGTGTATGATTCCTTTGAATGCACAAGAATCAGATTTAAAGGCTTGTTTGGCACAGATTTTTTTTAAAATCATTTTTCTCCAATATCATTTTCAACCACAAATTTTATGGAAACCACAACTTATCCCCACTTTTTCAACCACTCATTCTCCAGACAAATCATTTTTCACTTGAAAAAATTTGTGCCAAACAAGCTTTTAAGTATATTACGGAGCCTGGATATGTTAGTAAATTGGAAGCTGTATGAAGTCAAGAATATGGTTGATTGTTATTGTTCTCTTGTGCTGTTTGTCTGCCAAATCGGTGCTATTGCACTTTGAAAGCAATTGTTGCATTCATGCATAGTGATTTTTGCACTGTCATTTACGGTACCAATATCAAATGTAAAAGTGCAAGTACTCTTTGTCACATATTTGTGGTGAGTGCTGGAGAGGCTACTATAGTAGTAGGGGAAAGTCTGGTTGCAAGACCCTTAATGGTCAAGATTTCGACAACTGATAGCATCATTTTAGCACCTAATTAAACTAATTAGTAGCTGAAGAAGTACATATTTAATCTTTTGATAGAGCTTTGTATTTGCCGAAAAGTCTGTATTGGTATCTTTTAACCAACAGAGAATGTAAATGTAAACCATATAAAAAATCTATTTGCAAAAAGTTTCCATCGTGAAGATTAACATGAAATGGAGAAAGGAAATGAACTTCAGAAAACTACGAGTTCCAGTATTGAATTATCAAAAGAAAAAAAATGAATATCCTGTTTGTTTAGTAAAATGTGAAGTGGGACTGTCTCTATAAAGACCTTTTTCATATTAGATTGAATGTGTACATAAGGGAGATGGGGCCATGCTCTGAAGTTTACGTTTTTATCTTGTGCATTGGACCATATATTATGTTTTCTACCTGCATTCGTGGCGCTCAAATGATGTTTTTTTGTTTAATGTCATTGAGTCTTGGAATTTACTTTTTGTGTGCATGAGTTGGTGGCAATTCTTTATATAATTCACTTGATCTTTAGCTTTGCATGGACCACCACTGTAGGGTATTGATTGTGTAGCCATCATGTGTATCTTTATCTACAGCTTCTCATGACCATGGTGTGAAGACATGTCCATTTTACTCTCTTGTATGTTGCCATGAGGAACTTATAGCTGTGTTGTTTTCTTCTTTTATTTCTAAATCTTTAGTCTTCACTTGTTTCACTCTTAAGTCTTAGGTTTGAATAAAGCAAAAAAATAAATGCTATGGATCTTTTTGTTCTTGCACTTTTGATTATGGTGATCAAAAACTAAAGACGAGTGTCATGACTCTGCTGGTTGAATATATATTCTTCAGGGTGTGTTTTCATATGTCAGAAGGCCAATTGACTGTTACTCAAGGCTTTCTTGAGGAATTTCTTAACAATTGGAAATATGTGGATCAGCGGTATTATCTTCTCTTGAACGCAGAAGCTAATGCAGCCGACATAGAAGGATCTTGTTATAGGTTTTCTATAGGAGTTGACGAGTATTTGGAAGCTGTTGAGCTTTATGTGATGTCACTGCTTGCAATGGCTATAAAAGACATAGATCTTGCTATTTCTTGGGTGGACAAAGCCATGTTACCTGAGGAGAGGCGTCAGGTAAATTAATGACTCTGTTTTCTTAATTCAGTTTCATGATAGTTAGGAATATTACAAGTTCTGATTATGGATTACTGGAATTTGGAATTTTCATCAGAGTTCTGTGTAAACTAATTGTTCTTTTGCATTATGTTTTGTCACCCTTTATACAGTTAGCTCTAAAATGACAGTGTCCCCATCCTTACCATCATACCATGATAAAGAATATAATTATGCTGTTTGCCAATTGACTCCAATTTAGGATGGAGGTTTGCCAAGTAGAAACACTAGAATCAGGAATTTTGTTTTAGCAATCAATTCATAGACATGAGATGGACTCAAGCATAATGATTTATATTGCTTATGTTGGTCGTTGTTGAAGAGACTAAACCCTGTGAGGTTGTGACAGAAAAGGAAGATAGGTAACTTGACTGAAAATATTTACTATTCATAGTTGGTTCAGACTTCATCATCTCATTGCAATTCACACCTACAAAGGACGATGGGAGATGATCGTTCAGATAGGAGAGGTAAATTTATTGACATTTTGCAGATCGTGTTTAGTTTTTTGACTTCACTTGACAATTCACTGGTAAATATTTCTGATGAGACCTATTCTTGGTTGAAGTGTCTTCTATAAATGTTTGTTATGGTTCCTAAATTCATCTATGATGTATTAATTTGATCTTCTACTCCTTTCATGTTACTAACTTATCTGATTTCAAGAGATGTGTCACCTCTCTGTAATTAACTCCCTTTCTAATGGACGCTCCATAAATCTTCCACATTACCTACATATAATAGCACACACGACCACACCAATGTTTGTATACGCAGTGGAAAGGGAAATATCCCTTCTTTTTACTGAATGAGTCAATCATTTTAACTAATTTATAGCATATTTTCTCATAATACTTTTCACTTCACCTTCTTGGAGTTCGTTCTCTGGTAACTCTGTTTAAATTTTTCGAGTGGTTTCTTTCCAGTCTAATTCTTTTATGATTTCTGTGAAAATGCTCATACGAATTTCATCCTCTTTTACAAAAAGCATTTTAGTTCAGTAAACTATCAAACTGACTTCCTATAAAATTAAGATGAAGATGTGAAGAATCTCCTCTACATGTATTTGGTATTTTTGGATGGTAAAGAGGAAGATGTAGTGCAGTGGAAGTGAGTGGTTCAAAAAGAGAGATCACAGATTACCAAGTTGAGGATTTTATTGGAAGTCAAAGGTCAACATTGCATCTGAAGATTGGTTCACATGATACTCCAGAGCTTTCATGTTATGATCACTTCTTCATGGATGTAGAAAATGCCTTTGCTTTTAGCCCAGTAGTGCATAGCATATGATGTCCTTTCATGCATTTGCACGCTTGTCTTTCTTCTGGTATGAACATTCTCAATGTGATGAAGAAGTCTGCGCTTGTTTGTATCTGTATTATGTATGTCACGCGCATGATGTGTAAATTATAACTTGCATGTATTATTAAAAGATTATGCATTGACTGACATTGGTCAATTTCTTCTATTTGGCTTTTAGGAACTCTTGAGGCGGTTACATTCGATGAATTCTTCGAAGGTCAACAGTTCATCACAAGCTTCTATGTCACCTCAGCAGACAGATGAATATAAAACAAATTCTGATCCCTTTGGAGAACAAAAACAGTATAATGGATGTCTGAAAGATTTTGAATCTGGACATCTAGCTGGTGGAGGGAATACTACAAAACAGGCAATTCTGAAATTGTCTAGACATAGAGTTCCATACTTTTGGTGGTTCCCTTCCATCAATCTGAAATTTGGCAATTATCGATTGGTTGTACCTAGTGGGAAAGTCTTGCTATCTTGCTTATTGTTGCTTATGTATTATTTTATGAGGAAGAAGCAAGCTGCTTTAAAGAGGTAAGATATAATTCTCTTGGTGGTTCATGTGCAAGCAATTAATATTTAAAATGAACAGGGATGGCTCCTCTTGTTCTAAATTTCCAGGGATCATTGCTAGTCCACTATAGTCTTCTGGAGGATATATCTGTGACCCCTCTTCTTGCAGGAGATGCATAATATGTGAAGTGTAAAACTAAGAATTATTATGATCTAAGCAATATTTCTGAAAAGTAAACTGATTAATCTTTTTTAAATACACACGGTAAAGGGAAACGTCATTAATTGTATCCATTATTGCAGCCATGACATTGTTGCATAGTCTGGGTCAGAAAATTATGAATTTGATATATCTTTCGTTTTCCCTGTCAAGTGCATTATCACAATCTGCATTTGTTTGTACTTGCCTTTGCTGAGCACAATTCATATGGAGGGACTAGTTCAGCATGTTGTTAGTCCACATGACACCTGACGATGGTTCCATATAAATATTTTCTGTTGAATCCTTTGAGTGGCAACGATATTTATAATGTTGAATTAATCCCGTTAATACACATAAGAAAACTTTTTAACATCTAGTTGGTTTAGATTATTATCTTATTCATTGAGTTTAATATCAACCATTTTGTTCTAAGCGCCCGTTTGGCATAGCTTTTGAGAAGTCAAAATGAGCTTTTGAGACTCAGAAGCTCTTTTGGACCCATTTGGCTAATTTTATGAAAATGTTTTTCTAGTTAAAAGAATTTTTAGGGGAAGTTGGTCTAATGTGACTTGCTATAAAAGCACTTTTGGAATAAGAAGTTGTTTTAAAAATTAGTTTTCAAACAAAAATTAAGTAGCTTTTTCTAAAAGCAAAAACAAAAGCAAAAGTCATGCCAAACGGTCCTTAATCTTGTACTGATCCATCTATATTTAAAAAGTGAATGCAAAAGAATGGCATGGTGAAAAGAGCCGGTGGACCCCCAAAACTTTTGGGGTGCTTGATCTATGGTCCAGCGTTTTTAGAACAACTATGTTCCAATTTTTAGTGTCTTATTAGTTCATAATGGTAATTTAGGAATGCTTTTACTGCACATTTAAACCCTGTAAAGTATATGAAATGTATGTGACGAGTTGAGCATGATTTTGGCTTATAAATGCACTAATAAAATAAGAACTAGTTCAGCATGTTGCTACCTTTAAAATATCAGTGGATGATGGACTGGTGTATGCCTCTAGGATGTATATTCTATTGTTCAAACAATTGTGTGGGTTTTGAAAGTTTATTTAGTCAGTCGATACAGGTTGATGAAGGATTAGTAGGATTTATTATTTGACATCCCGAAAATAAACATCTGTAGCCACTACAGTTCTTTGAGAAATTTCAATTGTGTTAGCAGGAAACTTTCCAAAACTGTTGCCATCTAATATTTATTTTCCTCCTGCACAGGGTTCTTACGAACAAAGCTGTATCCATCAAAAAGGCTCTGGTCGACTTGTGGCAACTTGCATTCTCATACCAAGTGAACCCTCTGGCTGGTGTTCAACCCCTCCCTACTGCAACTCGTGGAAGCTACTGATGGTGCATTCTTCCACTTTTGTCTAACTAAGCGAGCTATTTTGAGATTGGTTTGCTTTACCCTTTTGATTTACACCGTTTCTGCTGGCAATTGTGCGCATACAAAAAGATTATGTGGGGATACTTCAGCACAAGGGCACCTTGCAAGAACCGTGTATTGTTGTATATGGAGTTTTGAGATACCTTGTTTTGCAGCCTAAATGTTGTACCGCATAAATTGGGTTAATACTGTCACGGGTAGATAAATGCCCATTGCGCGTAAGCATTTCTGACTCATTATATTATATACAATGACGTCTCTCATCGAACTACAGATGTAATTGCATGCAAATAAAAGTTCAGAATCCTTCTGACATTATTTTTCCAGATTGGGAGATGCAACCTGAGTTTTTGCTGAGGGCATGAAAGTTTGTACTGCTTAATCTTTAGTGAAGAGACGAACGATGTATTTCCTTTTATTTGTTCCTTGAACAAGGAAAGGCCAATTTCGAACAGTCGAACGAGTGCATTTCACAGTTTGAAACTAGGAAATTTTCATTTCATCCTGAGCAGTCTAACAACTTCGAATTATGATATAGTGATTGTCATTAAGTTAATAGAATTAACATAAAAATGTATTATTATAAATTATTAATTTATAATATTAAGGCTTCGTTTGAGCCACCTTATTATCTCATTAAAATAAAAAATATGACCGTTATTCATTACATCAATATTTAAATTTAAATTTTCTATTTCTTGTGTGGCTCCCAATAACGATTATATTTTTCATTCTCATTCTACAATAATTTGGCTCAAACAGGGGCTAAGCGGGTGTTTGGCTCTCATTCTTTTCAAATTTTTCAATCTCATTTTCATTTTTTGTGGGTCCTACGTTTGAAATTATGATTTTTGTCTGACAACTAGAGCTACCACGTTGATTATTCAATGGAGTATGCCACATTATGGCCATCAATTCACATTTATGCCCTTGACATTATGGTTGCCTTCTTACACTTCTGTCTGATATGCTTCTCGTGCCTCACTATGGTGGATCTGTTGGACTTGTTTCCCTAGCGGCCTCTTGCCTGACTGTACTCATGTATCCTTGATCCTTATAGATCCATACATGAAGTATGCATATAAGAGTAGAAACTAGAACACATTACTAAAAAATGAAAGTTTTATTCAAAGAAGGTTTAAGAGCATAATACTTTTAAAGCTTTTAATACAAGTATGCCAGTTGGAATCCATTGTCTGCATTTTTACATACTCAACAACCTTTTCATTTTCGCCCCTAGAAAATTGGTATCATAGCCAGATGAGAAGACCTTTCTTAAATAGAAGATTTAAATAATACAAAAAGATGGTATATCAATATACTATTAGATTTTACCTAAGATTATTCAGTAATTATCTAAGATACAAACATCTTGAAGAATATTTAGAATACTCTAAACCATGAGTAATACAGAAATAATTTGTGAGATATGTAATATAGACATCATTATACTTACTTCTGAGTATGATATTTATGAGTACTATAAAGAAATTTACCATGATTCTATATTTGCTGGTATAAATAGAAGAGTCATTGAGAAAAATAAAAGAAAAATGCAAAATGCTTTACAAAATTATGATAATACAGTTAAAGAATTTATCTTGTACTACGTTTGTAATCATCATTAGTTACGGAAGTTGATAACTATAATAATGATAACAATGAAAATAATGATGAAATCTGTGAACAGATTGAATCTCAAGGAAATTTCTCCAAAGAAAATTTAATCTCTGATAAGAAAGTTGCAAAGATTTGCAAGACAAAGCTTACAATTGAGCCTAAAGAAATTTTCGCTCAACCTGATTTTATAGACAGATTTGTTAATAGAAATAGACGTGTATTATGGAGTTTCTCAAAAGGAATTCGCAATACATGTACAACATACATATGGTAAAATAGAAATATCCTTTCTAATGTTGGATAATTTCAACAATATTTGGGGCCACACGTTGTATATTAAAATGTGTGATACTAATATTTACAGGATATTAGTCAATTAAAGTGACCTGTTAAAACTATATTGTGACTAACGAGTATTAGGTTTCATGGAATTAAAGTGTAGAGTCTTGATGTTTGTTTTAGATTGATAAGGGGCCGATTTGAAACAAAAGAAAGATAATGACCATTCATTATCTTATGGTTTATGGGGTCATGGTCCCCAAGTTGTTGTGTTCTTTAAGATTTTCTACATCCCCATCAACAGAGATCGAAATTGAAGAGAAGATCACAAATCAAATTGGAATATCACAACCTTTCAAGCAAACAATCAGATTATCATGGATCTAGATATGTTTTATTTTATTATTTTCTCGGATTTCAACATGGAGTAAGATATTAGGGTTCATATGAGGAAAATGATTTATTTAAAGCATATGGATTAAATCGATAATCATTTTCTGTTTTTTTCTATCAACTAAACAAGACATAAACAAAGCTAGGCAAAAAATGGATCTTGATAATAACAAGAATCTCTTTTGGATAACCACATGAGCTATTAGAATTCAACTTCGAAGCACCTTATTTGAAAAAATAGATCAGCCCATATCTATGAGCTTGATTGATGAAATAATCCAAAATCCTGTTGAACGATGTTTGGGATCCCTTGAAGGGAATTTGGCATGTGGAAAACTGTTATTTACAGTTCATCCTAAACTTTCAATTAGTTTACATGACCAAAATTTTGATGGAATATTGTCTTTTGTACACAAACAGAGCTAGTTAAAGACAATAATGTACATTTTCCAATATCATATCTTGTTAGTTATGCTATCCATAATCAACATAATATGACCTATGTAAGGGAACCAAAACGAATAAAGATTGATCATTTATTCTGAGACTACTTAGAACATAAAGGAACAGAATTTGAATGTTTAATACAACCTTCTAGTAAATCTTTAGAAATAAATCTAGAAGATCAAAGAACATTGGTTAAAGAATAAAGACCACTTCTTACTAGAAGTTTGTCTTTAAACAGAAGATCACTTCCAAATATAAAATGGAAAGAAGAAACTGAGACTAGTCAAAGTAGACAATTAAAACAATTAAGTCAAACCATTAATGAAATGGCTAAAGCCTTGTATGGAGAAAATTGAAATATGTCAATTGTAGACATACTAAAAGAAATCAAACATTTAAATGACAGTATTGAAGAAGTAAAAAATCTTCTCAAACATTTGCAAGAAAGTATTGAAAAGTCAATGGAAAAACACTCAACTGTAATTATTGCAGGAGTAAATACTAACAAAACTCTTACTAGAAAAATTCCTAAAACTACTTTTGGAGTTTTCGAAAAAAAGGGAGAATCTTCAGAAGAAGTAATGACAAAAGAAGGAAAGTTTGATATGGCAAACTTTAGAAAAAATCTTGAAAATATTTATGAGACTAGTAATGATCTATGACTCTTAAATGTTCTTCTTACACTTGAAGACTCTGAACTAGAGAAAATTGTAACAATTGTTAAAATTGTCAACATTGGAAACAATGAAACAATTATGACTATAAAATCAGATGATGAGGAATCAAAACATTCTGAATTTATGAACGAACTAGATAACCTTTTAGAAACGGATAATGATTCTGAAGAAGAAATCATAATTCATGAAAGGTTTAATAGTAATAGGAACCTGCTATTGTCATAAGGGAACCCAAACCAGAACAAGGAATTAGAATTGATGATCCAACATCTTCTAGTACTAATCCAGTAGGAGATGGTAAGAGAAGTGTAGGAGATAATAATCCCAGACCTAATCCAACAAATGAAGAACTTGATCAGAGTCTTTTACAATCTGATTTTGTTAAAAAAAGAAGTAGTCAACAAGTTACAATTCTAGACTTAGATTGTACTTTTGAACCTGAAAAACTTATTGATGCATGGTATAGCCATATCATGGTTGCTATGATAGTCAATAAAGAAATTATAAAACATGAAGCCAATTCTTGGAATTATATACTAGCCAGTACTAGAGGAAATATTAGATCATTTTTGGAAAAAAATTGATCATAACGTGAAGAATATTATATGGAGAGATTCTCAATATAATATTCCACAATTTGTGAAAAGAATAGTTGAACAACTTTACTAACAGTTCAGTGGTCAAACTTATGAGGTTTTTAAAAGTGAAAGAACAACAATTGAAATCGCTGATGCATTAAATCATTTAGAAAAAATTTCTATCTGTGATATGTGTTATTTTGAAAATTATGCATGTGAATTTTCAAAATACTTTTACATTTGTCCTAATGAAAAATGGATTGAGCTAACAGAGAAATTTATTAGAAAACTTCCTGATCCTTTCAATCATGAGGTCATGGAACTTTTTAATAATGCTATAAATAAACAAGAAAATCATGTTGATCCAAAGTTAAACATCAAAAATGATATTTCTCTAGGATTAACTATTACCCTTACTATAACTCTTCTTGCAGAAAAATGTAAAGAAAGCATACTAGTAAGAGATAGTAGACAACCAGTGTCCAGAAATTCTAGACTTTGTGAAAAATATCTCAATAGAATTCTAGGACAATATGGATGTATATCATCCAAAACGAAGGAATACAAAAAGAGAAAAATCTTTTAAAAAGAAAAAAAATATATTTTTAAAAGATATAAAAAAACCATATATACAAAAATTCTTCAAAGAGAAGAAATTTTTCAAAAAATTCAGAGGGGAAGCCAGAAATAGAAAAGAAATGGACAAAAAGAAATTATGTCCACAAAAGAAGAAAAATTGCAGATGTTGGCTCTGTAGTGAATCTGGACACTATGCAAATGAGTGCCCAGCAAGACTTGGAAATGAGGAAATGATTAAACTCCTAGATACATTTCAAAAGAAAGGTTTCTACCCAGTAGAAGACCCTAGTGATACAGAATCTTTGCATCACTTAACTACTGAAACAGAATTTGAATCCTCAGATACAGAATTATTTGAAAATGAGTAATAGAAATATTACAAATCCAA